GCATGGGAGACAAGCTCCGATAAGATTGCAGAACAACGTCCGTCCCTGGATCCGAGGAGTGAGCTTTACGCGATCACCAGCTGGCTTCGGTTACATAAGGGCAAATATAGATGACTAAAACCTCATTTACTCATTTTACTCATACTTTTTATCATTTATAATGTCCAAAGCATTGATATTAATATTAAATGCTACTTTTGTGCCTTTAATAGCCTTTTTCTCGCCTGTTTACTGGGTTAAAAATCTTACATTATTCCATCTCCACCTGCTGGTGAAAGCTAGAGCAGCTGGCGATCTTAACTCTGCAATCTATTGCTTTTCCTGCAGTTCCCGGATGTAATGTTGAATTTTAACAGTCGAATTTGATCCACTGAATTTATGGAAGCGAATATTTGAACTGAAATAAAATTAACTGAAAATGACCTTTTGAATATTATACATCGTATTTTTAAAGGGTATTGAATATTTTTTAAGTGAAATCTGAAAATTGAATATGAATTATTGAATTTTTAAGTTTGAAAACGTGTTTGAAATATTTTTCGTTGAAATATTCACAGCTTAAATATACAGATATGTTAAATTTCAGGACCTAAAAATACAAACCCTGGAATTCAAGTCATAAAAATGCAAGAACTTGTTATTACGGTGTATTATTTTTTTCAGTTTGTGATATTCAACAAGCTTTTTAATTCAAGACTTTAGGCATTGATTTTGTTCCATATTTTAGACAGAATTCAGATTAAACAAGAAACCACTTTTAATTATTCTTCCAAAAAAAATAAAACTCACAAACTGACTTATTTAATATGAGTCTGATGAATCCTGCACAGATGTAACTCAAAGAATCAGTCATAATTAATTTGTTTGTCAACATATTTCAGTTTTTCACTTTTGAAGTTGAAGTTCTAACAGCTTTTGCTGACTGGCTCACTTCCCAAAGTTATGAAGTTAAGAAAGCAGTTTCAGAATTTGATCATGGACCAAATCCTTTTTTAATCAAAACCTTAGTTTCCTTGTTGTCCAGTAAATGTTTTACTTGAAACATAGTCATGGAAACTCTAGATTCTTCATAATATTCAGTTTCCTTCTTCCTTATTCATCTTACATAATTACAGTCAACTCATTTTCTTTCCACTTGCTCACTGGGGTTTAAATCTTCTGTTTCTTCTTAATGCTTCTTGTATTGTCATGTTCAAACACAAAAATGACCGGTCAAGTACAATTAGATTTAGTATTCACTACAACGTCTCTGTATAATGTAGCATCATTAATATATTATTTATATAAAATCATGCTTTTTAGTTGATGCTAGTTTTAATTAGTTAATAAGAATGAATTACATAATCAGGACGTTGAATGAATGAATGTACTTAATGACAGAATGAATGTACATAATCAGGACGTTTCCCTACAACTACATTGTGTGTCTGGGTTAGCCCTTTGGAGGGGGAGTACTACATATGATAAGCTGGTTAGCGGGTAGGGAAGACATGGGTCCGCCTGGTCAGGGGAATACTCAGTGGCTGAAATAAGCATATGGAATTGCCATTGGGGGCCGTGCATAGCTGGCTCCGAACGTCAGCATGTGGGTAGACCAGACATCACACTGAGCCAGGCACCCAGTTCCTCAAATGCAGGGGGCCTCGAAGGTATTCTCTAGGGTTCGCCAAACGAGGAACTTACTAGCAGAATAGAAAGTGCACGTAGTAACCAGGAGGAAACTAGCTCCACTTGAGAATTATAAAATCTTGCGCATGTGTTAGGTGTCTCCCAGCTTACAGCTCTACATAATCTGTAAAGAGGCAGCGCATACTCATGCTGAAAAGGAGGCACCGGGGGACACGGCTTGCCCTGCCACACGAAACGAGGTCATTGGCTAAATTTTCAAAGTGAACCAACCTTTGCTCTGATATGGCACTTCTGATCTGCCGATCATAACAGATAAGAACTGCTTTGAGACATATGCTCTACGTGTCACATTAATATAGCAATGAAAAGGCCGGGTCTGCCTCCTCTGCAGAAAGCACATGCAGGTTCACTACCTGATATTAAAACGGCGGTAGGAACTTTGGCACATAGCTGAACTGGGGTCTCAGGTAAAGGAGAGAGTAGACCAGTCTGAATTACTGGCACGAAATCCTGACCCACCTGATTAATGCCAATGCGACCAACTGAGCTGCCTTCATTGACAGAAAACGTATAAATACAGAGTCGCGTGGCACAACAGACCTCACCATGACCGATGGGGCTAGAGAAATCCCAAGAGGGCAAGAGACAGGGGAGGGGATAGAATTAACCATCTTGTGTCACGCGGCTCTGAGGAATCGGCTGATGAGGTTAAGTCTTTCCAGAGTGCTACCATCTGCCTCCCCACAGAGAGCGGGGAAAGCAGCACACTAAACCTTCAGTGCGAAGGGTGACAGCCTGCGCTCCAGCTATCCTGAAGGAAGAAAACAAAACACTATCTGAGACATATCTGAGGTTTCTTTCAGAGAGAAGTGCTCCACACAACAAATAGACTCCACCACAGCACATAAGCTACCCTGGTGGATTTGGTCGATTGTATCCTTCGCCAGGAGGATAACAATTTTCTCAATCAAGACAGGAGTGGCATTGCGATGCCCACTTAATTAAACACCCGTGAACTCTGGAGGCCTACAGCGAAATGAAATGCGTAGTCTGACCATCGGTGCTAACCAGACTGACAAAATCTGAACGAGCAGCTTTACCTGAATGACCGCTGAGTACCCGCAGAGGGGCAGCTTTGGGAGGGGGAGTGCTCACCCTGGGAAGCGGAGCGTCCCAAAGAAGTGATGAAAATATGAGATTGACTCTTACATTCCTCCCAGGATCCCATGGAGAGGCTGGAGGTGTGAGAGAAAGAAAGCATTCTCTGGCACCTCAAAGCCTGTGGCGAAGTGCAACAAAGCTGAGGGCTGGAAGGCAGCGTGTCCCATGCTGGCAGCAATTAGACTTCCAGACCAGGACTGAGGAAAAGCCGCTCTTTTTTTGGATCGCTACATTCATTCATGGGGGGAGCCCCCGGTTCTCCTCATCTTCAAGTGGCTTGTCTCAGGTTCGCTTCCCGGCCCAATCACAGGTTTCTCACAGGCCGACTGATTTCTCTCCACCGAGGACTCCTGGGTAAAGTTGAATGACTTAAAGGTCATTAGAGCATAATCGACCACCATGTGAGGAACCCTTGTGCCGCACAGTGAGGTGGTGACATGGTGCAGGGCTGAAGGGGCATGGCCCGCAGTAGTGTGGGCTCTGGCTATGAGAGACACAGATAACTCACCCGCCTTGGATAGGGGTCTCAGCTTACCCCTCCAGGTGGTGGCACCCACCACCTGAGGAACCCACTTCTTTATACCCACTGGCCCACCCAGTGGCCCACTGGAATGTCACACCCTCTAGTCAGTCCTGCAGTGAGACTTGGGGACAAGTCATCTCTAGCCACACTGCCGAAGCAGCCTAGGAAGTGCAGCCATCATTTCTGACTTGAGAAGCGGACCACGCATTGCACCCCATAGGATGGTAGTAGGCCCGGTCTGTCATCTGAGCACGACAGCTTGCTCTCCGATGTTGTGATGGGCAACTTATCTCCAGTGTCATTAAGCGGAGGTGTGGGTATCCCAGAGGATTAACTGACACTACCACACGAAACTTGGATTTAATGTGCTGTGGAGGATTGGGGCCTCTACCCATGCCCATCATCCAGGAGCCACCGCACCCAGAAACGCACAGAACAGAGTCTTGAAAAAGACGTGTTGATTGACTGTGTTGCTATCTTAGGAAATCTGCTCATTCAATGGAAACCGTTTTTTTTTTGCACACCAGTGAAACACCCAGGGGACAGGAAAGCCCAAATCAACCGCCAATGTCACATCTTCTCCCGCACAGATGAGTAAACTGGTTTTAGTCCTGAAATCAGGTTGGCAGAGGTTCATCAGTCTCGTGAGGTAGTCTCTAAAGTAAAATTCTAATGCTCGCTTCTCAGCAATCAGCTGATATACTCTGCTAATGCCTAATCACTGAAAACTATGGAGCTGAGCTGAGCCAATTCATTTGGCACTCACTGGACATATTTTTTACTCTTCAGATTGATTGGTCATCTGGTGAACTCCATTAGTCTGCTTCAGACACACGTTGCAGTTCCCATGAATTGGAACTGGTGAATCACTTTTTAAAACATTTGAGAAAATCATTTCATCATCAAAAGAAGAAAAAACTTGAAACCTGTCTAAATGCAATAAGGAAATAAATACAGATCAGCATCATTTCACATTTTACTCGACATGGTTAATGATTCCCTCCCATTTAGTTAAAAGGCTCGGGTCAGTTTTGCAGATCGGTAAATGTATTTTGCTGACCATCAAGTATCACTATGGAACAAAGTGCTGAGTTCAGGTAATTAAATTTTCTTTTACACATTAAAAGATAATAATAAAATAAAAATGATAAATTATATATATGCATACATATATATTCAAAGACTATATATGTGCTTGAGTCTGCGTTTATGTATTGTATTCTAAGCTTCTTTTCATCTAAAACAGGCAATTACGGGATGTGCACAAAAAAGAACATAAGCAAGATGAGCAGAAGGAACAAGAACAGTATGTATTTTATATATATATATATATATATATATATATATATTCAAACTTTCATTCCATATATTCAGACATTTATTCTATATATGTAATATATATTAATATATTCTTCCATATAGGAAATTTTGGGATGTGTGCAGAGAAGTGCCAATCATTCAAAATGAGCAGATGCCAAAGAAACGAATGCACTGTCTAAAATGGTTCGCATGTACAGTTGTTGGCTTGCTTGTCTTCATTCTTGCACTTCTCAGTAAAGTGAGCTGCTTTATTAATAATTGTCTAAACATTTTATTGATGATGAGATAACTATTAACTCATCGATTTAATAATGTACAAAAAGATTTGTCTTACTGAAATGATCAATTTTTGTCTTTACAGACATCATTTCTGCTTTTGATAACGTTTGGAAACAATCAAACAGACATTATTCATTCAGACAAAAAGCCCACTGCTCTACTTGCCATTGGGTTTGTTCTGGTCGGGCCAAATGTTCTGCTCCTGCTAAAAAGCACATGGAAGTTCATTTTCAAGAGTGCAACCATGCCAGCTAAAAAAACAGTTTTCTGGGTAAGCAGACATAATGTACCACCATAGAACCTAATTGTTTTAGCCATAACCTTTCTGACTTTGCCCTTTCCTCTATAGGTCCTTTGTGTTGAAATCCTGGTAGCATTGGGAGCTGCAGTTCTTACAATTGTAGCCATGCCACACTTTGACATTGTCACTAATGTGATGATCCTAAACAGTGTGAGCATTTTATCCGCAGTTTTCCAGGTGGTTGCAGAGTGCCTTGCCAAAGAGAGGAAGCGTCTTATAATGCTCCCGGTTTTATCTATTATCTTTATAGTCCTGGGTTATGTGTTGTTTGTGGTCAACTATCTGGTATTCGAAAGTTCTTTTTGTATAACAATTGGACTTGCCATCTTTGGGACCATCTGCGTTTCTATGAACTGGTGGGAAAACTACAGTACACTTTTTAACAGTTTACACCTAAAGGGGATATCCAAAGACATTGGCAAATCTCGTAATGCAGTGAACATCATCTCCAGCTTGACAAGAATCCTGATTACTTCAGCTGTGATTGGAGCGTATGTCACTCTAACAGGTGATGGCTGGAATTCAGTCAAACTTGTCTTTGAAACGGTTGTCATTGCATTGGTTGTCATCCAGACTCTATCCTCAGCCTTGTGTCGCTGGTTTGTGGTCGTGGCTTGCAAGATGCACGCTTTGCGACGTAGTTTTTTTATGCCCATGTACTTTGCCTCAGTTATAGTTTTGGCAGTGTTTTTGTCTCCACTTGTAGTCAAGTTCCCTGTGTCTAATTACACTTCAATCCCTCTAGACAAAAGTGAATCCAGTGTAGAGTGGGTGAAGTTGTTGCTGGCCGATGCCATAAAAACTTTACTCACCAGAGACATTGTGGTAAACATGAAAACAGAAGGACTGGTCTGTTTAGGCTGTTCTGCTCTCTTCTGGTGGCTGGGACTTGTGCTTAGCACAGTTTATATCTGGTTCCTAAAGATCCATCGAATTGAAAGAACCCAAGATCTGTTTGTGCAACGCATGTATGAAGGAGCGTTTTTGGAGCAGTCCTTGTTGCTGAACACTCGTTTTGAAATCAGAAAGAAAATCAAGGACAAAAAGTGGTAAGTGTTTACATTTTTTTTTATATGCTCATTACATGGAGATTTTGTCTTTATTGGTATTTAATATGCATTGATATTTAAATATTATGATTTATTGTAATTTTAGTGTTTATTTTGTGTACAGTATATTTACTTTTTATATATATTTACAGTAAATGTGTTTCAATTACAAATATTTGAGTTTTAAAGTAGTACATACTGTATGAATTTGCTTAGCAACCTCTGAGCAATTAGAAAATTTCCTTTGGATTTCTTAATATTATGTTACTTGTACTCCTCAGTGCACAAATTATCCGAGTGTTTCTATGTGCTACAATGTGGCATGAAACCTATGATGAAATGATGAAGATAATCATCTCTATGTTCAGGTAAAAATACATAGACTAAACTTAATCAACCAATCCGAATATAATTTTAAATGCAATACTTGTTGTTTTGCTTCCAGACTTGATGCATATAGGCCCAAAACCGGAAAACACAGCGATATTGAGTTTGAATTTCATGTTTATTTTGATGACGCTTTCAAGGATGACAGTAATCAAAGGGAGCGCCTTGCAAATGAATACGTTGAAATTCTTGTGGAAGTTATTAAAGAAGTTTACATGTAAGAATCATGCTTTGTTGTACGTGCTCTTAAAATATATGCTACTGTTACACAATTAAATCTACTTATATTTTAATTGATTAGCATTTTTAGTGAGGAGGATCCATGTGTCTTCAAGAAGATGCAACCATTACCAACCCAGAAGATCATAAGCACTCCTTATGGAGGTCGGCTGGAATACACACTTCCAAAAGGCAATGTCATGATGGTTCACCTCAAAGACAAGCAACTTATCCGTCACAAAAAAAGATGGTCTCAGGTAATATTAAACACCGGTGGCTGATCTGTGAAATTTAGCTATAGCAATTTTAAGCTTTTTCTTTCATTCATGCATACTGTAAAGGTGTAATTTTGAATTTTTTTGTTAAAATATGTTTAACGGTGTTTAACGATGTATAATTAATACATGAAAATTATCACACATTTTCCCTTTAAAGATCAGTTATAGGCAGTGGGTACCAAGAATTTCACCAATCATTCATGTTTCCAGATAATGTACTTGTATTACATTCTTGGCTGGAGACTTAACAAACAGTACTATGAGAAATTTGAGGCAGGTGAAGAACCGGATTTGCTTAAAGAAAAACTAAAGGTTAGAAGGATATCTTTACTAGCAGTAAGTTCTAGCATATCAACCAGGCTCTGGATCACTAACTGTGTATCACATGCTTCTTAGAGAGAAAGAGAGAACACATATATCCTGGCTCTGGATGGGGATACAGATTTCCAGCCTTCTGCAGTCATGCTGTTAATTGACAGACTTAAACTCTACCCAGAGGTCGGAGCCGCCTGTGGCAGGATTCATCCCACAGGCACAGGTTGGATGTTAATTTTGGATAGACTGTGTCTAAAAGTCGTACACATGCCACTGTCCAGTATAATTTAGCTCCAGCTTGCCTTAACACATCTGTCTGGCTGGTTGGGAAGTTTTAATTTGGGTTGGAACTACAATATGTGGGAAAATGGCTGTCCAGGAGCAGAATTGGACAATAGTATCTGGATGTAACTTCGATGATGCAAGCTGAGACTGCAGATGCAGTGATGCAATGTCAGTCACAATGCACTCAATGGAGCTAGTGACATCACTGCGAGGGCTAGGGTTTGGCATGGGGTTAGGTGAGTGCATTAAAAAAACATTGGATGCAGCTCAGTTTAAACTGAACTAGGTCTGCATCCAGACTCCACTCCATTTGGATGCGCTTGGCATAGAACATTGTTATAGAGCAGGAGAGGACATTTCTGGTCCTGGAGGGCTGCTGTCCTGCAAAGTTTACCTCCAAGCCTAAGACCTTCCCCAATGTAATCAATTTTGTAATCATAGAGCTGACACTAAAGGACCAGCGTATCGACCCATGTTATAGGAACTATCTAAATGTGCTCAGGTGTGAGCTAAGCTGTGCTTCTTTTACTGTCAAAGCATTTAAAAATGCAAAGTGCTCAACACTGAGCATAAAATGTATGCGCAGCACCTGGCTACTCTGCCGGTATTCCACTGATAACAAAAAATGTTTCTGAAGAGCAAAAAACTTTTTGCCCAAAAAATGTTCATGATCCATGTTCATGAGATCCACTCGTCTAGATACAAATCAAACAACCAACCTAAAATATCTGACTGAAAACGTATTATGTGTTAGGCAGGTCATAAACATACACATACTAATAAGATCTTCTGTTTGCTTGAAGGACCGATGGTGTGGTATCAGAAGTTTGAATACGCTGTAGGCCACTGGCTGCAAAAGACTGCCGAGCATGTATTCGGTTGTGTGCTCTGCAGTCCTGGATGTTTTAGTCTTTTCAGAGGAGCTGCACTTGTGGAAGACAACGTCATGAAGAGATACACAACCAAAGCCAGTGAAGCCAGCCATTATGTCCAATATGATCAAGGTAATGTCTTTACAAATAATATCAGTTCAGGCTAGACTGGGAGTGGGCAATTCTGGTTCTGTAAGGACGCTGTCCTGTGTTGCCTAATCAAATGCCTGAAAATAAAACCTCTCTTTAGGATTTCTTACAGACATGGGTGTTCAGTTATAGAGGGAGCTAAACTCTTAAGGATAGTAAGCCTTCAAAATCAGGATTTGCTCAACCCTGACCTAGACTAAACTAATTCCTTTGGTGTAATGTCAGGTGAGGACCGCTGGTTGTGCACTCTGTTGCTGCAGCAGGGTTGGAGAGTGGAGTACAATGCAGCATCTGATGCCTACACCAATGCTCCACAGGATTTTAAAGAGTTCTACAACCAACGCAGGCGCTGGGGACCTTCTACCATGGCCAACACTATTGACCTCCTGGGCTCAGGACAACTGACTTCTCAAAGGAACAGCTCTATCTCAAAACTTTATATATTGTACCAGATTATCAGCATGGCAGCTTCCATCTTGGGTCCTGCTACTATCTGCCTCATGATATCAGGTAGTCAAATTAATGCTTGTCAATAAATTGAATTCATTGTGCCATTTTAACGTACTTCCTGGTTCCAAGTGGGATTCAAAGAGGCAAGCATGCTAACAAGGATGCTAAATAAAAAACAGGCTCCATCTGCATGATGCATGAAGATGAAGGTGTTTAGGAGCCAATATTAACTCCCCCAGAAAGTTTTCTTTATTGAGCTGTTTTGAATTGCCTGTGGGCGAGGCAGTGGCGCAGTAGGTAGTGCTGTCGCCTCACAGCAAGAATGTCGCTGGGTTGCTGGTTCAAACCTCAGCTCAGATGGCGTTTCTGTGTGGAGTTTGCATGTTCTCCCTGCCTTCGCGTGGGTTTCCTCTGGGTGCTCCGGTTTCCCCCACAGTCTAAAGACATGCGATACAGGTGAATTGGGTAGGCTAAATTGTCCATAGTGTATGAGTGTGTGTGTGTGGATGTTTCCCAGAGATGGGTTGCGGCTGGAAGGGCATCCGCTGCGTAAAAACTAGTTGGATAAGTTGCCGGTTCATTCCACTGTGGTGACCCTGGATTAATAAAGGGACTAAGCTGACAAGAAAATGAATCAATGAATAAATTGCCTGTTTTGAATTGGCCAGATTTGGTTCGAAATAATGTAATTTCAGTTTGTGGTTCAATTTCGGTTAATGTATACCAGGGCCTTTACCACTGATGAGTTGCAGGCATGTCAAACAGTCTAACTTGAGTAGAACTGGAGTGTAGGAATTTCAATGGTGCTGTGACCCAGCATTTAGCCTAACAGGGTTGCATCGTCTAGCATTAGTCTCTTTTTCACCTCTTACCACAAACAAGAATGTTAAGAATCATAACCTCTAGCAATAATTGCTAGTGTGTGAGTCAGGGAGTGAGATATATGTTTACATCTCTTACTACTTAGCCCCTGTTACATAAGCAATAAGGCACACACTGTTTATATTGTCACATCTGTCTAAATGTTCTTTGCTTGTTTTGCAGGAAGCTTTGTGTTCATATTCAATATGAATGAAAATACTGCCCTTGCTTTGGCGATAGTGCCCCCTACGGTCTACCTTATCCTGTGCTTCAAACTGAAATCTGATACACAGATTAGAATTGCAGCAATCATGAGCATTATCTATGCATTTCTCATGGCTGGAACAATTCTCTCTATCATCGGTAAGGACTTTTAAATGCTATTTGAAAAATGTAAAGGCCTCATGATATAATTTGATGAACGGTTTTGTTGACATGCAAGCCTTCAAAATATGTAAGGTGAATACACTCTTAAAACAATTGATACTTTTACTTAGCAAGAATGAATTAAACTGTTCAAAGCTGGCAGTGAACAATCTTGAAAAATGTTTTCACTTTTTTTAACAACATTTTTGGCATGAAAAAGGAACTACTGTCCAGCTGTACATGGGCAAACTGAAACTATGATAAACTAACTAGATTGTGCAACTAGCTAATGGCTTGCAGTGGGTTAGGGTCTATGCAGTAATATCCCATACACAGCATGACCCTAAGTCTCAAGTAGTAGTCTGTATTCTTGTCTTTTATTTTCAGACACAAAACAACATGGCTAAATGTTCCACAGGGCCCTGTTGTTTCTTCACAACAGGTGAAGTGTGGTTTCCTCTGGGTGATCCGGTTTCCCCCACAGTCCAAAGACGTGCTATAGGTTAATTGAATAAACTAAATTGGCTGTAGTGTCTGTGTGTGAAAGAGTGTGTATTGGTGTTTCCCAATGTTGGGTTGCAGTTGGCAGGGCATCCGCTGCATAAAACATAAGTTGGCAGTTCATTTTGCTGTGGTGACCCCTGATTAATAAAGGGACTAAGCTGAAAAAGAAAATGAATGAATGAATCATCTTGGGTCTGTCACTATCTGTTTCGCTGCTGGAGGTGAGTGGGATGAGCCATCCAGCCATCCACTAGTCTTTCGTCCTAGGGCCAGCATGTGAAACAGTGCAATGCAGTTTTATCAAGCACCACATGCTTGCCCCATTCAAGCATTCAGCCCCCTAAGACCACCTCCAAAATTTATTGAGGATGTGATGAGTCAGTTTGGGTGACATCGTTATATGTTTCTGTTAGATTCCAGAATCTTCCAGAACCTCCCTGCCCAGCTGGTGGTCTGTGTTAGAGGCTCCTTTAACTGTCTGAAATAGTCACTGGATCAAATGGCCAACCCAAACACCAAGTCCACTAGCATTAAAATGTCAATACAATCAAAATCTCAGCATTGACTAAAAGCAAACAAATTTCCTGAGATCTCTAATATTAATGAATAGAATTACTGTACCTAAACAACCAATGACAAATATGCCTCTATCTTTGCACTTTTCTCCTCATCTTAACTCTCACAGGTGATTTAGTCAAGCAAAATACTTTTCTGACCCCTAGTGGTCTGTTTCTCATTGGCATGGTCATGCTGTACGTCATCACAGCAGCTTTGCACCCTCAGGAGTTCTCACTGGTTGTCTATGGTTTGCTATACTTCATCTGCATTCCCAGTGGCTATCTGCTATTAGCCATTTACTCCATTGTCAACATGAACAATGTCTCATGGGGGACTCGTGAGTCCGGCGGCCAGACGAAGACTTCTGCAGTGAACAGTCTCAAGAAGAAGTTTATGAACGCCACATGCTGCAAATGTCCATGCTTGGAATATGAAGATGAAACTAGCAAGGAGATATTACCAGCAGAAACCATAACAAAAACTGAAACGTCACAAATTACCTTGGATATACAAAGGTAAGAACATGTCTACTTTGTTTTACCAATTAGGCATAAACAAAATAATCTACAAATGAGTTACCCTAAGAATACTGCTACTAATACTACTAATAATACTGTGTTCTTACAATGTAGTGCAAATGTCTTCCCAACCAGTCCTTACAGTAAGTATGACTTTCACATGTAATATTGTTTATACTGTGATATTCCCACCAACATAATTGAATGAAATCATCAATAATCCTGTTATAGGTTTAGATCGAAAACCTTGGATTCAACGTTTGCAGCCAAAATTTGGTTTTTGGTTGAAGAGTAAATCCGAATGCAAACTTTCTACAGTAAGACACATTTTTATTATTCATTTATTCATTTTCCTTTGGCTTAGTCTCTTTATTCATCAGCAGAATGAACCGCCAATTTATTCAGCATATGTTTTACACAGCAGATAGCCTTCCAGCTCCAACCCAGTACTGGCAAACATCCATACACACTCATTCACACACTTAGGCCAATTAAGTTTATTCAATTCACCTATAGCATATGTCTTTAGACTGTGGGGAAAACCGGTGCACCTGAAGGAAACCCACTCGAAAAACAGCTACAACATGCAAACTCCACACAGAAATGTCAACTGACCCAGCCGGGAGTCAAACCATTCACTGAGCAGTGGAACACAATGCAAAAAATGTTTGCAAAACATTATTGCTTATTTGATGCTTCATTCATTCATTTATTTTCTTTTTGGCTGAGTTCCTTTATTAATCTGGGGTCGCCAGAGCGGAATTACCGCCAACTTATCCAGCATAAGTTTTACGCAGTGGATGCCCTTTCAGCCGCAACCCATCACTGGAAAATTATGTTTCATACATTGAAGAACTGTTGAAGATTTGTTTTGTTATCCTAATTATTAGACGACAGTTATTTATTTAAAAAAATCAAGTTTTCTTTAAGTAAAATAATGGTTCTGCCTGCTTCATTTTCCCCCTGCATGTATTTAATGACACAATTGTATACAAATGGAGTAAAATTGAAAATTGAGGATGCAGAGAATTCATCAGATTCATCAATGCATCGTGATGTTCAGTTGAACTGAATCCATAAAACATGACTCCTTGCGATGCACAACATGCAAGTCAGTGACTACCAGGACTTTGAGAGTAAAAAAAAAAACACAAGCAATTCAAAATGAACATCTCCTTATGATACTGAGTAGATACTGAATACGAAGTGGAATGATCAGTCTGTGCAAGAAGTAACACATTCTTTGCAATATTATTATACATTAATAATTTAATAAATACAGTTATTTAATAGTTGGTAAGTAATATTTTTACTGCTATGTTTTGATTATATGTTCTTTGTCTTACAGGATGAAGTCAGTTTTTGGATGGAAATGCAAAACAAATATCTGGAACCTCTTATGGAAAATAAAGAACAACAAGAAAAAATAGCTAATGATCTGAGAGAACTTCGAAATAAGGCTAGCCTGATAAATTCACCAGTTGCCAAAAATGGTTTAGACTACTGTTTGCTCTGAAATGGTAAAGATTTGCCCTCATCATTTTGTCTTTTAAAATACAGGTTACATTTGTCTTTTTCTTCTGCAATGCACTTTGGCTAGCGGCAACTTTCTTCCTTCAAACAATTGGTGATGCGGTCTCTATAAAGATCCCAAAAATCTACCCCAATGGGACTCATTCTTCAACAGAAACGTTGTCTCTTGATCCGATTGCGCTGATGTTTCTACTCAGTTTTGCAGTACTGCTGATAATGCAGTTTCTTGGAATGCTTTATCACAGGTAACTTGCAGACAATGATTACAGTTTAGCAATCACTGATAAAGACTATTTTTGGGGGGTATATTAAAATGTAATTTCGTTTAGGTATTTCCTTAAACCAAGTGAAGATTATATTATGTGTGTAAGAGATAAATATAAATAACTGATAAGTTTGTGTTTTGTTAAGTATTGGTGCATTATGTCTTTTTATTTCAGGATTTACACATTAATCCATTATGTGGCTTATGCTGATACAGAAATTAAAGCCCATAGAAAGCAGTCAGAACAGGTATAAGCCAACGGACAGCCATTCTATTTGATAGTTCTTTATTATAGTGGTTTCTTATTTTAATTTACTTTGTTCACATTTTAATAGGTTGCACAAATCGTGGACTCAAACCACCATCAAGAGACTACGGAGGATGATGGAACATTATGGTTTCAGAACCCCTCTACCATAGGACACATAACTGCTGTATAGAAGTTTGGATTTAACTCTCATTAATGCTGTATAAAATAAATATTTATTTAAATCTGAATGTATTGTATGTTGTGGCCTAAACTATTATGTTGGTCAATTATTTATGTATAAACTGAATTCTCAAAATAAAATATTGTATAACTGTTAAAGCATTGGATATATTCTATAAGAATTGGCATATATTTTTCCTTTTTTTTTTTGGTAAGAATTGGCATATATTTTTCCACTTTATTACTATCATTTCATATATTTCCATGTTTCTTTTAAAAAAATTGTTAACAATAAATTGAAAGTTTTATGAACATATAATAAATCTTTCATTGTAAATCTGTTCTTTTGAACATACTGTATTTACTGTATAGTGTATTGAAATACAATAAAACTATTTTGTTTTGAAAGTTTCCTATTCATTTAATAAGGCAAAATTCATTATAAAATTATTATTTATAAGGAACATTTATTTATAAAGTAACACACACACACACACACACACACACACACACACACACACACACACACACACACACTTGTAGTAAGTACTTAGCTATATTTTATTCATAGAAGATAGATATTTGTTGTAACCAATTTGTAATGAGATTTTGAGGGTTTCAAAGTAACTCATTATTTTATTGTACTTGAAATACAAAAAAGTATCCTTTAATACCCTAAAGAACCCTTTAATATCCTCAATTAGGCATGTAATGAACTTACAGTACACTTACTAAGCATACTTGAAAGATTTAGCAACTTAAATTTAGCAATTTAGCAAAGTACACTAAATACACTAAAAGTTGTGTTACTGAAACTGTAAAAAAGCAACAACAGAACAACCCATTTCAACTTCCCTACAATAATCATTAACATATTTGAAGTACACCCCCAATACTGGAATATTGAAACAAAATAAGGTCATTGACATATTGACATCCATTTTTTATCGATATGTCACTGCAATTTATTTTCAGTTTGGACAGCTCAACATCGAACTAGTCTAGCCTTGATCCTTATCTCTGAAATCAGGGGTGTGTAAAACTATGTTAAAGTATGAATAGGCCACTTACTCAAAAGAGTCAAAATAACTACCTAAAAGATATAATTATACTACACTTAAGTATAGGCCAAAATATACTACTGATTTCTGTCACTATGAGTCAAGTATGATGCAATTTTAAGTATATTTATGAGAAAAACCTAAAACCTGCATTTGATAGAATAAGTTTTTCTTTATCTATAAGGAATTTAGGCTTACATGCAAATGTGGTAAACCTTGCTGGTATGCATATTGAGACAAAAGAAGGTCATTGACATTTTGACATTTAGTTGTTTTAAAAGACATGTCACTGCTTTTTTTTCTGTTTGGACAGCTTAAACATGCAATTCAGTCTAGGACTAGCCTTGATTCTTATCTCTGACATCAGGGGAGTGTGTACAAATATGTGAAGAAATGAATAGGTCACTCAATCAAAAGAGTCAAAACAACTTCTTAGAATAATTACTTTTAAGTAGAGTCTAAAATTTACCAAGAATTTCTATCAGTATAAGTCATGTATACTTAAGTGTAACATTTATTCATTCATTTACTTTCTTTTCAGCTTAGTCCCTTTATAAATCTGGGGTTGCCAGCTGCAACCCATCACTGGGAAACACCTATACACTTGCATTCACACTCATACACTACAGACAGTTTTAGCTTACCCAATTCACTTATAATGGATATCTTTTTAAATTTTGGGGGGAAACTCGGAGCACCTGGAGGAAACCCATGTGAACACCGGGGAAACATGCAAACTTCACACAGAAACGCCAACTGACCCAGCCGAGGCTCGAACCAGCGATTTTTCTGCTGTCAGGCGAGAGTGCTACCCACTGCACCACAGTGCTGCCCTAAGCGTAATATATATATATATATATATATATATATATATATATATATATATATATATATATTTTTTTTTTTTTTTTTTTTAAAGCCATTTCACCTTTAATTGACAGGACAGTACAGCGTATAGGCAGGAAAGCAGAGAGAGAGGAAAGATTGGCATAGGACCTATAGGTGAACACCCGAGTGCCCAACACAATCTCACGGCAATTCGTAACTTTTTCATTTAGTGGCTAATTCGTACAAATTTGTACAATCTAATTCGTACATTTTACTACGATTTGCGTATCCCCCAATGACGGTTGGGTTTAGGGGTGGGGTTAGGTGCCACGCCTTCTTTTTAAAATCGTACATTTTCTTATGACTGAACTCGTACGAATTCGTACGAATTAGCCACTAAACTGCCAAAACATAAAATATTTACGTTTTCTCGTGAGATCAGGCTGGAGTGCCATGTGTCAACGCACCAACCACTACGCCATTGATGCCGACTGCTAATTCTTAATTTTAAGTATATTTCTGAGCAATACCTAAAGTATACTTTTGAAAGTGAATGTTCTTGACCTAATTTTAGATTTATGCACTCATTTGTACTTGTTAAACTATTAGTTAGAACCCTAATTAGGTAATTAGCGGTTAGTTCTCTATAATTATTCGCCTTGGCAGGGTCTCTAGATGTAAATGCATTTGCTCACATTCATGCACAACATCAGAAACTAACTCCAATATTTGAAACAGAAATGACAATTAGAAATTTTAGAATATCACAGCATACCAGTGTTTTTTATTATTTGTCATTAGAAAACAATGAAATTTCTGGAATAGTCTTCGTCATTTAGACGTGATATATGTCATGTCAATTTACTCACCTTCCTGACATTTTAAACACACTGGTTTCTAATGACTCAGTAATATCAGCCTACTGTCATGCAAACCCATATATCACATTTGACGTATTTTGATCTGTATATTTACTAAGTTGGCAAGTTAAAAAGACCTTTAAGACTTACCCACAGCTGGGTAAGTAACTGCACATCAAGACAAATATCTAATCAACCAATATCCGTGAGGAATGAATTAATTTAGGCATATAAGCTAGTTATAGGTGTTTGTCTGTAACAAACACTCAGGAAATCTCCAGGAACAGGAACATAAGAGCAAAGAATGTGGAATAATGTTCAAGACCAGACAGAAAACATGAGGAAAACATAAATACACTAAGACTTACAACGGGTTTCCACTAAAGCGTCAAATCTGTACTCGGTGCTACCACCGCCTCAGGTCCGGGGCTTGTCAAATTTAGGGCAGAGCACACCTGTTCTTACATTGTGCTGCTTGTAAACAGGATGGAAGACAGCACGCATACACAGTACCCTGTTTAATGGCTGCTTCAAAAAAAATCAATGAATAAACACACAGTCATAACATTCTAATACACTCTCATGGTAGCCTTTATGTAAGTGATTTCAGCACAATAATTAAGTTTATAGCATCATTTCTGATACTCTTGGCTGATCTCAACACCTTCTCTGTGCTGCTTTCAATCCAGTAATACACTGCGTGAGCATTAATACTGAACTTCCAAATGAATTAATTTAAAAAGATGCTTGTAAGGTCACAGTGGAAACCCACTAATGACAAACACAGGTACATGTGATATAGGGAGCTAAGGCAAGTAACAAAACAAAGGAACCACAAGACAAAAACACCTGAATTTAATCAACACAGAGGAGTGATTTATCACCATCTGAAGGGCATTTTGTTAAAAAAAAAAATTATGGCCGTCATATTGAAGTGTCATTCCAAACTAAAGTGCTCAAAACCGACCACTTCAAAGGGCCCTTTGGAATGAAGGATTTTGAAAAATACAGCTGATGACTTATGGACACTTCAGGCCTTTGTCGCTTGAGCAGGTAAATTGTTTAGTGTCACGCACTGCACTCAATTTGGAAGGCTCATCCCTTTGCTCTTATAGGACCCTCTAAAGGGATGAGCATAGGGATGAGCCCTTGCGAATGGAACCCAGATACAGTCCTTGGGCCTTAACATACACCCCACACAATAAGGCGCAAGATGTCTTTGGTGCGATTTATTGCTATTTTCAGACCAGGGCTACCCAAATTTTCATGTTTTGCAACACGTTGTTTAAATAGTAAATCCATTTGCGTCACTTTGTGGACTCATAGGCCCACACGGAATCTGCGCACGCAGAAATTTGCAGATTTTTAGCCCATGATTGAGTCAATGTATTTACTTGTGTCAATGTGTGTAAAGATATATTTATTAAGGTTTTAAATTGATTTCACTAATATTATTGTGATATAACAATAGTAATATTAAAATGTTCATATGATGTATTTACTAGTTTGTAACGTATATAGTAATAAACTATTTTAGTAGATATATTATATGAGAAACTTGCTCTGTTTACCAATAAGTAGATCTAATTGAATTTGCATTGTAAACATAAATAAATGTTAAAAATGTCCTATATTTTATTTCACATATTTAGTTTTTAGTTATGGTGATACTCCTAAAATCAAATAAACTGATTTTTTTTTTTTACAAAATTCTCAGCAGAAATCGCAAAAAATGTCAGCAGATTTTGTCCGGCCATAGGGTGTTCCGGTCTAAAAAGGAGGTGCGTTAAGGCGCATTGTTGGTGAGTTGTTATTTTGAGGAACTGAAATAGACTGCAACATTGACCAACTAAAAGCTGGTCTAAAGTCCAGCGCCGAACACTTTAGTTATACTCCAATGCAGGTCCAAAACGCTTAATACAAACAGGATGTTCAGCAATACACAAATATCTTTACATATAAAAAGAATTGAAGGATTAAAATGTTACGAAAATATTTATTTTCTATATAAATATAAAAACCACTCCCTCTATGCCATCTTGATGTGGAGTTTTATATTTCAATATTTATATTTGTTTTTATTAAAACAAGTTTAGATTTGTCCACCTGTTGCGTTTTGGAGATGTATGCATCACCATATGTGGCATAAGAATAGAACGTGCGTTTTTTTTTTAAACTGTTTTTGTTCATTCATTTGTTTGCTGGAAATTAAAACTGAATTTAAAAAATAGTTTTAAAACAAATCTTTGCACTTAAACGAAATTAAATTTAATGAATGTCTGCAGTGGAGTGCGTACAACACCGTCTCCTTATTCCACTGGAGTAAAGAAGTAAAGCAAGGAGTAAAAGTAAAGTAAAGAGAAAGTAAAGAGGCAGATTTAAATATGTATTGGATTAAAACATGCAGTGG